CAAAACCCCAAAACCCCAAAACCCCAAAACCCCAAAACCCCAAAACCCCGTGAGTAAAAAAGTGTTATTTAAAGGAGTGCGTGACCATAGATATTTTTATAACAGTTAGATTATTTGAGGGAAAATGGAATAAAAATCAAGTAAAAAACCAGAGAAATTTGTGCTCTTAGTTTGAAATATAAATTTTGAGAGTGAGGACAAATCCTCTTTTATATTGTATATTAAGGATATATTGAATTTAATAGAACTTATTAATATTAGAGGTAGAGTAAGATTTTAGGTAAGGTTTGATTATGAAATTAATGCCTCTCTATTCAATAAAAGAGAGCTGAAATTGTGAGAGCCAAAACAGCAATACTGGTGAGAAGGTTTGAGCCTGAAGCGCACCATCTACCGTTGGTTGAGCATGATTAGCTTCTCTTAACTGGTCTGTTACCGGGTCCCCAGCATCCAACAATGTAGGGATGGAACATTGTTGCGACATATCCGTAATTAAGTCTAGAGAATTTGACTCCGTTGCAGATATCCACATCGCAAGGTTGCCAAAGTAATCCATCAGTTCTGTATGGTCCATAGATGATTCTTCCGTCCTTGGCGATTCCAATTGGGTCTTGAGTCTTGAGTTGCTCAGGAATGTGTGCAAGAGAATGGTTTCTAACATCTTTTGAGCAAACGGCATCGTTGGCGCAGTCCATAGCTCTGTCTCTCAAAGCAATATCATAGATGCATGGTGAGAACATGTGATATCTATAGGTATTGTAGTTGTCAGCAGTACCTAGACAGACATCAACTTCGATAGCCTCTGGTGATTTTCTGGTTCCGTAGGCCTTTGGGAAGAAAGCGTCGTATCCATAGTGAGATGATCCAGCGAAGAAGAAAACTCCGTTCAATGCTACTCCAACAATTGGGCTGGAGTCTGGTAGTCTAAGCATAGAAAAGCTGCTCTGATAGCTGTATTCCCATGATCTACTTGTCAAGGTAGTGGAAGCTGGATTACCTCCTGCGGCAGGTACAAGTGTCAATCTACCATAGAATTCAACGTGGAGTGTAGTAGCTGGGAGGAAGCTTGCCTTGGCCCAGGTGTGGTCGCAGAGATAGTTATCCAAATCTTATTGATCGTCAGCTCTGTAGTAAACGTAATCAAGATCAGCTTCACCACCAAGTGCTTGAGCAAGGTAAATATCATTGAATAATAGTGTAGGGTTGAAAACACCGATCAATCCATAAGCTTGGAAGGCTGATGTGGAACCAGATGGTGCGTTGTGGTCAACATAGTAGCAATGGTTAGGTAGAGAATTGGTCATTGTAATGAAGAGGTTGAGTTATTGAGAGGCAGCCAACTGGAAATTAGCGTTATTTGTGAAAAGTGTATTGAAATAGCTCATTGCTTAAGCTGGATAGTTAGTACTAGTAGTTGCAATATAAGATCCCAAATTGAGTAAGTCTTTGACACAAGTAAAGGTCTAGTATCTCTACCAGCTGCAAGTATTTCTTTAGACTCCATCTGGACACTCACCAACGAAGGAGCATTGGACTTATTCGTAATCTTAAGCTGTGCCGAAAACTTATGATGTTGAAGAACTGTAGGGGAATCTAGTAATTGCATTTTGCTATGTGGTGCCGACTTAATAGCAATCTGTGCAGTCAGTAAGTCTAGCGTATTGGTAACAATCAGAATAAGTCTGACTGAGAGTCTGAACTCCACTAGTTGCAGAAACTTTTCCAACTTAACTCAAGGCTAACATTGCTGTGCCGACTAAAGATAGTTTGCACAAGGCGTCTCTTCTCATTTGTAGAACGATAGTTAATAATAAATTTATTTATGATGAATCCAAATACTTATTAATAAAAGTTAATCAATCTAACTCAATTCAAATCTTCAAATGGAGGTAACATCGATAAATTCTATTTAAATTTTATTTCATTTTATTATTTTAATTCGGACCAACATTTAATTTCTGACCTCATTATCACTTGGGGTTTTGGGGTTTTGGGGTTTTGGGGTTTTGGGGTTTTGGGGTTTT